ACTGGACAAAACACTCCAGGTGTAACCTCTCCAGGGCTGAGTAGAGGGGCAGGATCACCCTCCTCGACCTGCTGGCAATGCTCTTCCAAATGGACCCCAGGATACCACTGGCCTTTTTGGCCAAAAGGGCACACTGCTGGCTCATGGACAGCTTGTTGTCCCCCAGGACCCCGTTCTCCACAGTGCTGCTCTCCAGCAGATCAGCCCCCAGCCTATACTGGTGCCTGGGATTATTCCTCCCCAGGTGCAGGACCCTGCCTTTGCCTTTGTTGAATTGCAGACAATTCTCTGCCCATCTCTCCAATGTGTTGAGGTCCCTCTGAAGGGCTGCACAGCCCTCTGGGGTTTCGGCGGCTCCTACCAGCTTTGTATCGTCAGTGAAATTGCTGAGGAGGCATCTGCCCCTTCATCAAAGTCATTGATGAATAAGTTAAATAATATTGGGCCTAGAACTGAAACTTGGGGGACACCACTAGTGCCAGGCTTCCAAGTAGACCCTGAGCCACTGATTACAATCCTCTAGGATCTGCCATTCAGCCAGCATGCCATCCACCTCACTGTCCACTCATCCACTCTACACTTCCTGAGTTTGCCTTTGAGAATATTGTGAGAGACAGTGTTGAAAGCCTCGCTGGACTCAAGGATATTAATGTAAATATTTTCTTTCGTAAATTCTTTGCTTGAGAACTTGGTTTAACTAATTTTAATGATGAATTTTTAAATCTCTTAAATGAAAAAGGTTAGAATGGAAACTTAAAAGCTGCACTGTGAATCACAGTTATCATATATTATAGATATGCTGTTGCAAGAAACTGATACTTGCTTGATTCCTAAATAATTTGCTTGTCCCAAGCTGACGTTGCAGCTGCTTACTGTGACTGCTGAATCATAACTGACTTTTTGTTACAGTCCTTTGTGCTACAGAGGTGATTGCTAAAGTGCCAGCAGTGCTCTCTGAACAGCATGCCACAGCTATCCATTTGCACTGCGGTCATGACAAAACATAGCCATTACCTAACTGATTCTCCTTGGTTCTTTAACCTGCCTGCAAACTGAATATAAAACGTTCATGGACCATTCTAAAAAACTCCAAAATACTGTTTGCAGCTAGAAAAAATCAGACCACACTAGTCACAGTATTAAAGGAAGCTCTGTCAAAAATGCAAATATGGTCAGAGCAGCAGATGGTGTAGCTACAGTGATTTTCTTTGAAGATCCCTTTTGAATCCACACAAAAAGGCTGAACAAATGGTTCAGGTAGGAGTCTGAAACCACTTTTATCAGTTGAATTCCTGAACCCAAACTTGTGCAAGTTCCAATTTAGTGACACTGTGTAATGACAGAAATGTCGTTGGGCTTGTGCCTGTTAAGTCAGAGGACCACTATGTTCTGGGATCCCATGTCCTGGCATGCAGGGAGGAATTCAACTTAAGGTTAAGAATCACTATGCTCCTGGGTTAGCATCCAGCTTGAAATTCAGTGGGATTGCCCTTCCCTTCAGAAAGGCCTAATGTGCTAATGTTCTGTAATTAATGCTAAAATGCTGTGCAAAAAATCTGCAAAAAAATTCTGTGGATATATTTTGAAACTGAGTTCATCTCTGCATATCCTACAGAAGAGTGAGATTTTATTGATGTATTTCCTATGGCCTTTAGAGAACCACAAATAGCAAAAAACAACCAAAAAGCAAATAGGAAACTAAAGAAAACAAATAATAAACTGAGATACACCTAAAAGAAAAAGCAAATAATATTCTGAAGTCTAATTTCATAGGTAACTAGCTAAGAGAAAATGGCTTAGTTACAATTGTTAAAAGGGAAGCAATAGTTAGAAATACCACAAAGCAACTAAAATAATCCAGTACAACAATTCACAAGTTTTTAGGACTTGCATAGGACTTTGAAACTTGGGGGATTTGCTTTCTAAATATGCCTTTCCTAAAACAAACAGGCAAAATTAGTTATTAGTCACTGCAGTGTTGTGCAGAGGTTTGAAATGAATGAATAATTACGTGGTGCTTCCAGGTTATAAAGTGGAATCGGTTTTGACATCTGTGTCTCTATTTATATTTCTTTACTTGCAATTGCATGCAAATGGAACATTGACTGCTTTTGGCAAGCAACAACATCCTAAGAGATCTCCAGAAAAAAAAATTAATCTTTTTTTCTGTATTTGATTGTCAGAATCTGTTTTATAAACCTGCTATGCATGTTTACAGCTTGCTTTACTTTTGCTCTGCACCACCGAACAACTTCACTAACAGAGTGTTTCATATGTGTACGCTTTTCAATTTATGAGGGGTGTGGCAGCAACAAATATGGATAAGCTTTGCAGATCTTGAACAACAGATAAGAAGGACATAGAAAAATGATGTCATGATACATAGTGTGTGGTACACTGACGGCTATTTAGTGATGGGGAGGCAGAACAAAGTTTTTGACAGCTCTCTCATTTCATAAAGCATATGTGATCCTCACACCAGGCCACAGCTCGCTAAAAAGATATCTAGGTTAGTCAAGCGTTACATAGCTGGCTGAAACTGTGTGTTGAAACTTGCTGCTAAAAGACAAAGTCAGGTGAAATCCCAAGGGAAGGTAAAATGCTCACTTTAAGGATTATTTGTTAAGGGTAAACATAAGCTGGAACAGCTTGAAAGGAAACCCATGGCATGATTTCGGCTATGCCTGAATTTGTGTAGAAGCTCTGTTCTCTTCCTAATTCCAGTCTCCATATCCCTTGTGCTGGTGTTGTTGGATAGGATGGGAAAATCTGTGAATAGTTAATGCAGAAGCTGCACAAGGGGAAATTCTCCCTTGATTAAAGAAGGGCATTTGCAGTCATTGATACAATCACAGTTGGGCTTTCTAGGGCTCATTCCTTTGTGAACTGCATCTCCCGCATGCCCCTTTAAACAGCATGGGAAAGGATTAGTAAAAACCTTTGTGGAAACTATTTAGTAGTGAAAAGTACTGTTTTTGGCAGTGGGGATAATAATTCCAGATATTCTTGAGTGTGTTACTCATATATTTGAACTAGAGGGAAGTTTTAGATAAAATACTCATAAGGTGTAGACAGCTGAAATATCCAGGCTGCTCCTGTGCATATTTCCCTAATATTATTTTGGCTAACAGCTCCATTTGGGGCATTTTATTTAGAACACAAATGGTATTTATCAAAGGGATTGACACAGTGAAGATTAATCTGTCCTTGATTTTCTTTTACTGGCTTGGATGAGAGAACGAGAATATTTTTAGGCTTAAAACTACACACAATTTGATGGGTCAGGGACAAAAGTCTCTACCTTGTCTTCTTATTGAGATAGCCCCAAACATGAAAACATACAGATGCTCTTGTTCCCTAGGCAGACTCAATACAATATAAAGAATATTGTACTGGAAAGAACCTTTGAATCTGAGAATTCAAAGTTTCTTTTAGTGATAAATTTACATAAATTTACTGAAGCACCATGTTTTGGACTGCCACAAGACAGAAAAAACTACCCATTATTTGAATGGGAAGGGTAAGACCCACCACTAGATCTTCCCCCACAAGACAGAGGGTGGTCAGTCTGCCTGGGCAGAGATATAATTTTTATAACTGGGAATGTTTTTCAGTAATATTTCATGAGTGATTTATTGAAATCAAGCTAAAATAAATAGTACAGGGAGGCTGCAAACTGTGGCTGCCCGATGGTTCTAAGCACTCACAGTGCCACTATGAAAGGCAGTTTAGTGCTGAACCACACAAGATGCTAGTAGTCCAAATAAAAATTATTGCATTTTGCTCCTACAGGTAATGCATGAGACAGCATATTCTCTAATGAGATACTATGTGCTGTAATAAAAAAAACCCAGAGAATGAGGTTTGAATATCTTATTTTGAGCTGTGTGTGATTTTTGCATAAATAAAGCAATTTAATTCAGGCAGTCCAAAAATCTGGATGGTGCAACTCTGATAGTACACAGAGCTATACTGAGGGAAGATACTAATCTCACAATTTATTCAATACAGTTTTTATCCCCACCACTAATCCCATTACTCAATTGTGTGATGCTCTTTTAAGGCAAATCCTTCTTTCTGTCTAGCCAGCTGTCAGGCAAGCAACACAGGTGGCCTCCTTTTTCTGCTGCAGTTAGTACAGCAAGCCTTGTCCTGTGGTGCTGAAATCATGGATATCTCCCCCTTAAAGCAAGAAATTCATTCTTTTATTCATACCACATTTTCATTATTAAGAAAAAATATGATTCATAAAATATTACCCTATGGCAATATGCAGACTTTAATATTAATGCCATTTTATTAAAAAAAAATTCCTCTAAAACAGAAAAGATTAAACTCAAGCATGAAAAAATACGAGTATCTGCCTGGAAGCTACATCTGTGCCCTTCATCTCCCATTTTTTGACATCCCGTGAACATCTCCAGAAAGTTATAGAACATTTTCTCTTGAGCAAAAAGCCCTCATGGATATGGATGTGTTCAGTAGTCTTTGAGAAATGTCTAGAGGTCTTGTAATTTCTCACTCTCACAGCTCCAAGCTGGCTGGATTCCACAATCAAGTTTACACAATAATCAGACAGTCACTCAAATCATTGTTACTCAGTCCTTTTGCCTCAGAAAACATCCCTTCCATGAGATTCAGCCTGTTCTGCTGACTGATAAGAAAATGTGCATTCAAATTGGTCCTGCTTATAAAAACTATGACTGACAACACTGTGCAGTCTGAGAACTGCAAGCCTTAGGTTATTCCTAGGTTCTTTTGAATCAGCATGAAACGTCCTTCTGTGCTGAGACGTCCAACCCTATAATTTTAAGCTTCCATTTTATTCCTGGCAATCTTATCTCTGAAAGGCAGAATAACTGCAGTAATTGCACATCTCATTTCAGAAAAATAAAGAAACATTCATTTTCCATTGTAATGGTTTACTGGAAACTGCTTTACAGGAAATGAAGAGACTGATGAGGAATGAAAATGAAAACCAGCAACACCCAATTACTCACCCGTGCTAGGCTGGTTCCAGAAGGGACTTTATATGGGACATACTTCCTGTAGATATGTCCAACTCGAGAGCATGGAACATCATACATGCCACCTCCACACATCCACACCTGAAAAGGAGACAGAAAGCAAGTGAAAGAATGATTCCTGGATAAAAATGAGGCAAAAAAAGGCATTTTAAGTAATGTGTATGTGAAAATGACATCGTTCTGTACTGATCCCTCCCACAGTCATGGTGGCCTTCTTGGCATGCTGGTAGGTGGGTTGTGGTAACATGGCAGACTGTCCTAACCTGAATCTCACTGCAAAAAGCAGAGCATGTTCAAAATAAAATTATAAAACATACTTGGATTAGAATAGAATGGTTTGGGTTGGGTTGGAATGGTCTTTAAAGATAATCTAGTTCCAACCCAATCCAGTATCTACCACTGGTCCTCCTGCAACACAGTCTAGGCATTATTGTGTCTGTTGTTTAAAACCTACGAGATCAAAATTTTAAAAGAAGGCTATGTGATTAAAGCAAACCATCAATCAGAAGTAATATTTTTTTCCGAAACACATGGCTTATATTTTGAGTACTGAGTACAGAGCTCAAATATTAAGATGCTGTTCATTATGTAAAGATGCTTTTCATTTTGTCAAGAAAAGGGAACAAAAATCAATTTCCTTCTGATCTAATTTATGCAGGCAGAGAAAGAACATGCTACTACCTTTCATCATTAACACTTTAAAACCGAAAGAGACAGAACTATCTGGAGTACACAGGTCTGATGCTTCAGGTCTGAGCAACCAAAGCTCAGTCAAAACTGGTGGGAGCTGTAAGCAAGTACTTCGCAGTCCTAAAAAATCAAGCTGTATCCTGATGGGCAGCAAGTAATGAATTTTTCACAATTCTTCATCTAGGATGACTAGGCTTTATCAAGTGTATGTGAGAGCAAGGTCATGTGCCATGTCAGAAGAACTATGGCAATCATGCCAACCAATGGACATGATTTTCTATGCTCCAGTAATGCAGAGCTCTAACATGGCTATTAGATGACTTATGTAGGACCCTGACAACATTCATAACTTTATAAAGAAAATCAATTTGACTTTGCAAATCAGGGAAATGTAAAACAATAACCTCTCAAGCAGAACCTTTTAAGTATCCTAAAACCACAGAAGAAGAATTTGAAATTAATTCAGAATGAAAACATCAGTATTATAAAAATTGTTTCCTAATCCTGGATAACTCATTTTTTTCCCCTCACAAATTCAGAACAGAATGACTTTTATTCCATGTAAGGGACACTTGGTCTCAGCTTTCAGCCTTTCGACTGAAAACAAAAAAAAATCTCAACCCCCTCCCACCCAATTAAAACAATAATCAAACCAAAGCTGAGAAAGAGAGAGGGCTTTTCCTTTCTATATCTCTTCATGTGGACATACATAAAGATGCTTCACTAAACATCTCCATGAATTTGGATGAGAATTTAGGTCTGTGCACTACATATATGAGGGAATTTTAGCTGTATGTGATGCACTCTGGAGCAAAATGACGTGAAATAGATTTGTGACTGAGACCAAAGCAGAGCAGAACAGGAGCAACTGAAAGCAACTGAAAGTTTCACCAACATGTTTCATACAGAAAAGAATTAAACCATAAGATAAGGTGCTCTGAATTGAAACAATAGTAACCAGACCCTTAAAAAAAGGTACTGGAAAACATGATGCGATCACATATACTTGACATTCTGCATGAAGCCTGCAGAGAACAATGTGCATCTCTACACTTTTTTACATTTCATATTCCATCTCTTTTGTCCTGCCCACCAGCTGGCTGTAGCTAGTGGCTTTTTGAAATCACGGGAAAACAAAATTATTAATTCCATTCATTTAAAACATTAGTGAAAATGGGCAAGAGTTTGGCCTCTTTCACTGCGCTTGCCTGATTGTGTTACAGTGGGTATAATACCTGCTTGCTCCTGGAATTCAACCTCTCTGACTGACTGTGCTATTCATACTGTGAATGGAGAAAAATGGGTTAGAGTGAAGACTTGAGTTGCAAAGTGATTTAGGTAGCTGCTTCTTATGGCTCATTTGTGTATTAGCCCTTAGCTGTTAGCCATGGCATCCAGCTGAGACCTGGTAAAGAAATGCTTGAGGATCTAACAAACCTAAATACACTAGTGTAAATGTTGAAGGAAGGCTTGAAACCAGCAAAAGTGGGTCTTTGTCCTTAAGTTCCATGGAAACCCATGTGCAGTCAGGTAGGAGCTGCTGCTTACTACTTCCCATCACAGAATTAACTAAGGCATAGGAGCTCTTGGTAGGTGCTTCTGGTACATGGTAGCATCTCAGCTGAGGAGACAAATTTTGCATGTTAGTAGTACGGCATAGCAAAGACAGCTGTCCTGGGTATCACTCTGCCAAGTGGAAGCCTGTACGCTGATGAAATGAAGTACCTATTTCAGTACCTATTTCTGCGTTGAGGACATGTCATCTGGTCTCCTAGTGAGCACAGTCCTCAGGGAGGAGATTTATTGGTGGGAATGGAGACCCAAATGAATGCTTTGCCTCCATGCCAAAATAGCTCATTAGTAACAAGAGCAATCTTGCATGTAGTCAGGGCACGTGGACATGAAGATCATTTGCTTTAAAAAACCCCCATTTTGTAAAATGTGCCTCTTAAACAAATCTTGAAATCTTCACCTGTTTCATCTCATGTCAGCTAATTCACTGGAAAACATGTGCATAAACATAGTAAAATATCACAAATATTACAGTGATAAAATAATGTTGTTCACCTTTCTAACAATACTTCATTTGTATGTTACATCACTTGTACCTTTTTTAGTGGGAACCTCCTCTCTGTGGCTATCTTCAAACAATCCACTGCAACAACGAAAGTGCAGACCTATACTTAGGATTTGTTCTTGTTTTTTAAATGAAGGTGTCATTTCAAAGGCTAGACAAGTTATTACAGTGATTAATCAAGGCTTCTTAGCCTTTATAAAGTGGGCACCATAGCAGTTTGACTCAAAGGTCAACCCCTGAATAAATTTAAAAGACAAGAAAGCAGAAAAAAAAATTATATACAGGCAAGTATTACTTTAACTGAGGCAATGAGAGCTGAAGCAGACATATACTACATTTCCTCTAAAGCAGTAGCATAGCAGTTAAAAAAAAGGAGAAAAGAAATTAAAAAAAAACCCCAAAAGTCAGATATGCTGAGGCAATAACAAGTGGGAGGAAATAACATAGTGTTAGACTTATATTTGATAGACATAAAACCTGAAAATGCTGTGCTGCACCTGAGGTATGCTGTGCAGGGTAATTGAAATGAATTTTGGGTTGCCTTGAAGGACATTTAGCAGCTGTTCCTGTTTATCTTTCAGCTTCAGAGTGATATTAAAAGCATTTTTTATATTTTCCTGGGAAGATCAATTCTAGCAACTTTGCCTTTAAAATGTGCATTTTTATGTCACATGTGCTAAATGCAAGAAATTGAAGAATGACTTCTGTGTTAAATATTACAGACCTCCAGTGTACCATGCAAGGAATTCAGGTGGTGTGGGACATTTGACAAAATGATATCAGAAGCAATGAAATTCTCAGGATCGCAAATGTCTCTTTCTTATAAAAGCAATGAATCTGGTCTGCAGCTGACATATAAAAATTGAAGATGAAACCAAAACAATGCAATTCCAGCTTGGAAAGATCAAAAGAAGAGTAGTTTATGTGTCAACTAAATACTATCTCACAATTTATCTTTATATAGCTCCTTCCAACAGAATGTTGCAAAACACTTTATGGGGATGGTTGAAACCAAAAGGCAGGCATTAACACAAGTTTTAAAAGAAATTAAGCTGTGGTTATGTGGCTTTGTTCCTGACTGGAGCTCAGATGTCACAGGTGCATTTTTTGGCTCTGTTCTACAGCTCCTGTGGGATTTTGGGTGAATCACCCTCTTTTCACATCACTTTTAAAGACATCTTTGTCTTTAAAATTGAATTCTGCCTTCTCTTGTGGTTTCCCCTCCTGCTGCCTTATCTCTCTGGTTTATGAGTGATCCAGCCAGAAAACTATCTGGAAAATGTAAATACTGCGCATACAAGACTGAGACTCCAATCCATATCATACACTGTAATCATAATTACTGTAGCAAGAGACTCATGATTTTTGAGCAGTGGAGGATGTGTCGCTGCGGAACAGGAACATAAATATACAGCAAATTATGCAAAGGATTTAAATGGTATTGAATGGACTTTGGATCAGGCTTCAAAACTAATTGAGAAATACACTGCTGCTGAGAGCAACAAGACAGGCAACAGTGAGAGACACTGAAATGGACAGAAAAAAACAAACAGAAAAAACCCAAACCAAACCAAACCAGCAAACTGGTGGAAGAAGAATATAAAGTATTTCGTACTAAGGCGATGGCTTGCTGCTCTCCACATTAGTGCAAGAGGGATGGACTACAAACAGGAGAAATGTATTACAACAATGAGGCTGAAAAAGTTGTAGAAAATAAGATTATAGAAACCTTTTGGGATTTTTCAGTCACTCTTATTGAAACAGAAGCCAAAAGAACAGATTTGGCAGTAGAAGAAAAGGAAAAAGAAGAATATTTTCCTGTGAACTTTCATATGTAGTGAGAATGTTCAGCTAACTGAAAAAAAAATTTGAAAAATAGGATCACTGACTGCAAACGGGTTCACAAACTGCAAAACCATTTACTGGAGGTGCAGTGGGATTTCCTGTCAGGGATATTAAAATTGTACTGTGTAAACTGGGAACTGATGACTCTGGGTATTTCAATAATACTCACCGGCACCTCTAAAATTCTGAGAAAACTCACAGTATTCCACATTTGTCAGTTCTTCGTATAGATTACAACTGCATTGACAAGTGGTAATGCTCCCCTACTCCCTATCTCCTGCCAAGATTGACAGCTGTAGAGGGAATGAATAATGATTATGATAATGGTGATAAAGAAAGGGATTAATGAACTTGGAGGTGTGTTTTGGAAAACAGGGATGAAGAGAATCTGAAGACGTGTTGGCATGGATAAGGATAAAACAACTCTAGATACAGGTGACTAGCTTCAAGAGGAGGGATCTCCATTGGT